GGGGGGGGGGGGGGGGGGGGAAGATGAGACCCATGTTTTAAAAATCATAGAAACAGAGAGAAAAGTGCTGTTCAGCAATTGTTTAAACCTAGAGTTAATTTGGATTGATCAACCTCATAAACTCTTTTTCGACTTCTTGATGGTTACTCAGCTCACTCAGACTGAAATATCTATGGACGATCTTTTCGGCAGTGACCGCCACCATCCGCACTCCGTGGGTGTCATCTCCTAGCTGGCATCCAATGGCAGATGAAACTACCATGTCGAGATCTTTGTAGGTTCCTCCAGCATTTTTGTGACAATGCCCGGAAAACACCGCTTTAACACCTGTTGAGAAATCAAACCAACCCATTATTTGGGCTCAAACTCAAAGTATTCCAGAACAGGCATGGTTTCCCAACTTTTTATTTCTTAGATAGTCAGAGATGATGACTCTGAGCTGCACCCAGCTTGAAAGGTTGTTTGGCAAGGAATTTTATTTGAAAGGATTTGCATTAGGAAAAAAAAGGAATTTCAGTATCAAAGAAATGGCTTTTGCACAGTTGTTCACCATTTAAAATTCTAATAAACTGATTTCTTTGGTGAACATAAAGACATTTGCCCTGTTTTTTTGTGTAAGAACCACTGGAGTGTAGCAGTTATGGTGTTGACTGGGACCAGGTTCAAATTCTTGCTTGACCACAGAAGTCACTGGATAACTTTGAGCCAGTCTCTCAGCCCAACCCACCTCACAGCACTGTTATTGTTCAGCTAAAATGTGAAGAGGTTCCTAGTAAGATTTTACTAAAATCTTCCACAATGCCTCCATCTCATGCTTTAAACTGTGTCAGCTCCCCTCCACAGTTGACGTGGGTTCAGGATATCTTTCCATTTTACAGATAAAAGGAAGATTGGGGAGGTCTAAAATGTTGCCCAGATTAAAAATTACATTTGATTGGGGTTGCCTTGCAAACTGTTCATTTCCACAATCACTTTAAACGCCCACCACCACAATGTATGGCCCTATATTACTAGTTCCTCCACCTTCCATTCAAGTTCAAAATGGAAAACACAACCTGTCAAATAGAGAAAGTTCAATATTACAAACAGTAGCTCCAAAGTTGCCCCAAAGTTGAGTTTTTAGTAGGTGCCTAAAAACTGACTAGGCTTATGTTAAGTCACGTTGAGGGCCCCCCTCCCCCCACCCCCCGTGAAAGGTTTAGGGAAGAGCATTAAAAAATGTTCTTCTGTGATAGCATCCAACCTTTGGAATCCCCCTTGAAAATCCAGATGGTACCATCACTCCTGACCTTCAAAAAAGCTATGACAACCAAGCTATTCAGAAAGGCCTTTACAATACAGACTGCAGATGATATATTTTTTTAAAATGACTATCAAGAAACTTTGAATGTGTAGAAGTTGTACAGTTTAATAATAGGACAGAATATAGTACAGAATAAATTGGAGTAAATCAAATACTTTGCCAACTGGCAAGACGTTTCTGAAGGCTGTAGGGAAAAAAAATTAGGCTTCCTATATTGTCCAGAAGCTATTAAATACCTTGAGATTATGATCCTCAGGAAAAGATCCAGAACAATTCAAACTGTATCACTCAGAGGAAAGAGGATACTAAGGGGTGGATGAAAACATCGCTAAGCTTGTGGGGAAGCATTAATGTTGTGAAAATGAATTTTGCATCAAGACTGATACGTACACATTTGAAATTTGTCTTCTGAAATAGTTCAAACCAATTGATAAAATGGTAATTTTTTAATGGAAGGAACTAATATCCAGCATCAACTTGTCAAAGTTAGACCATGATGATCATGATGATCTTAACTTTCCTGGTTTTAAAAAATAACACTGAGCTTATTTATTAACTTACAACCCTGTACTGGACTGGAAAAGGGCTTTTATTTAAGGTCTATTATCAGGACGACTAACCTCTTATTGTAAGAAAGAACAGGAAAACAATGTGTAGGTTTTAATGAATTAATTATTTTGGCACTGTTGATTCCTGGTTTGGGTTATTAAGGTTTTTGTTTTGTGGCACACCAGCATGAGTCCTTGTGGCTATGGCAGTATAAAAATATTACAATACAATAAGAAGATAAAATAATTATGAAATCATAGGATTCTGTGGTTGGAAAGGACCACAAAGAACTAGTCCAACTTTCTGCAATGTTCAGGGAAACCAACTAAACCATCCTTGAGAGATAGCTATGTTTTATTTTGGCTTAGCTTGTTAACCCTATCATTGTGGCTAAGGCCACAAACTAGGGTTGAAACTAATGATGGCTTAGGACAATGGATGAACTTGGTGTCCTACAAAGTAGATACCTAATGAATGTGCCCAGCTAGGAGTATTCCATATTCCAGAAGCCACTGCCAAAGAAGTCACATTTCCCGGGGCTGGGGGAGGGCATTCAGAGACAGGATGAGAAAGTCTTACTTTTAGATTTCCTTCTTCCAAACTCTTTAGAATTTCATTTTAAAGACCGGTTACAGTTATAATTATTCCCTTCAGTGCATTTGTTGTCTAAAGATAAAATACAGTGAATCAGAGATAAGTATTCTAATGTATTTTAGGCCATAATCTTTATTGTTCCATTTACAGACACTAATAAAACATGGCATCCAATTTAAAACATGATCCATTTTTGACAGCTAATTGTTACTAATGTGCACTGATTTCAGATTAATGAAAGGTTCAGTGTAATCTCAATATGGGAGGGATTAAAGATAAAAATAACAACAGCTTCCTGAACTGGTTTTCCTCCCAAATCCAAAGCTGTGAGGGTAACACAATTCCCTAGCTTGCTTTCGGGGACTCATACCAAATGTTTTGGACTTCCACTCCCACTAATTCTGGTTAGCTTGCCAATGGCTAGTAACTGTGGGAGCAGAAGTCCAAAACCTCTGGAGGACATCAAGCTCCATAGCCCTAAATTAGGAGGTGCCTTTTGTAGCTTAGAAGATCACCTGCATGAACGTGCCATCTTGGCATCTGGTGATGAATTGTACCAGGAAACGGAAAGCCAGGACAACGCAAAGAAGGACCGAGTAGTGTTCTTCACATAGATGATTCAACAACCTCAGACAAGTTATCTGAGCAGCTGCCCATTCAACATCCTCTTCCATTTTACCAAACCTCATTTCGTCCTGGTTCCCAGGAGACAGTCACCTCCTCAAACAAGTCAGCTTTCTTGCAGTGGCTCCTAATCATTTTCAACTCACTGTGGATCAAGCAAGCAAGACCACTCGTAATAACCTGGACTGCTAAAGAAGCACATGGAAGGTGTTCCACTGAAGAGCAGCAAGCAAGATAATGAACTGTAATGTGTTTCCTGTTGTGTTCTACTATACAGATTTCTCCTCCTTCCAGGGATTCCTTCTGCTGTTGCGCTGGTAAAAAGGTAGCCACTGGGCGCTGATAGCTTTTCCACCCACAGGCATCTCAGTGCTTCTCAGGTGGTGAGCATCAGCAAAGGAGACATGGAGGTGGTCTTGGATCCCTGGGGAACTCTGAAGTTGCAGAGATACTGCCAACTCATCTTTGAAAGGAAACTTCTACAAGGGGCAAGCCAGTTTCCAGCTAATCAGTAAATGGAGCCTGAGCACGCTCAGTAGCTGCTGAGTGAAAGGGAAGACAGACAATTGGGTTACGGGAACAGAATGGCCTAATGGATAAGGGGATGGACGCCTGGTATTGGGAACATATCCCTCTTAAGAGGTAAGAGTATCAAGCCATCTCTTGCCCACTTGCACCTTTTTAGTGTAGAAAAGGAGGATGTTTTGGGGTGAATCTAAAGCAGCAAAGTAAATAATTTACCATCCTGGTGTTTGAGTTGGAAGCTCTTCCTGCAACATTTTGCCCAATTCACCCTTTTTTAGAACATCAATATCAGCTTGTCTGGCTGAAGGTTGCACTCAGGTTTCCAGAGGCCAGGGATCACAGTCCAAGAAGCAAGCGCAGCCAGGACATAAATTACATTTGGTTTGATTTCAATGCAACTACATTTAAATACTATTATGGTAAGTATTCTCTGGGGAACATCATAATCCCCCTCAATACACACTTCAAAATGTAGAACTTCTGGAGAGGTTTTGGAGACAAGACATAAGGCTTTTGGGACATGTGGCCTGAAGTGAGGCACTCCTGAATCACGCCGTGGCCAGAGGTTTTCCTTCCCGAGAACTGTCATTCTTTTTTTTAGTTATTATTTTCTCTGTGTGTGTGTGTTTTCCTTTTGAGCAGCAATTTAAGGCAGAGGGACAGAAGACAGAAAAGTTTCTTTTTGGATATGAAATTTTCAGCAGCAAGAATGATGTGACACTACATTCTCTGGGGGTTTGCACAGATATGACCTGTAACCTATTTTTCCTTTTCAGCTTTGGGCTGGAGTTTCAGATTTGTCTCTGCAAGAAAGGTGCGGCGAGTAATTGAAAAACAATCCACATACCCAAACGCAGGCAAAAAGGACCATCAGCAAAACCTGATAGCAAAATAGCCCCTTGGTTTTTCAGCTCCCTGCCACCCACCCAACTTGGTTTTCAGATCTCCCTGAAGCTCCTTTACTGAGCACAGCTCGACCAACTTCATCTGCCCAGGATAGACGTTGTATCTATAATTCAGTGTCATAAACTTCAAAAAGCTGCTTTTCTGACTTGGGGCTGGGTTTTCAAGCTGAGTTGGCTTTTTATTTTGTTGGTTTTAATCAAAATCCTTGGCAGAACTTCCAGAGTATTTTAACATTCTGCTCTGACACACCTCAAAAGAAACTTTTAATGAAGAAAACACAGCAGGGAAGAAGAGAGAGGCAGCTATCTGGAACAACCAGTAAGTTGCATTTTCGTCATCTGATTAGCAACAAATCAGTTCTGGGTTATGATGTGTGAAATGTCTTCCGCTTGAGGCATACTGGAACCATAACTCACTGTCCACTGTGAATGAGGTAGCCAATTTTTAGGTTGTGTTTTGGAATCGGTTCTGGTGCCTGCATGTGGTTACTGAGAGTCACACTCTGTTATGTGCTATGAGTCCCATCACCCAAGGTTGCTGGGTTGGGTGTAGACCTCAACTGTTGGAACCTGCCAATATTCCCGACAGAGAGAAGAAGTTGGAATCCTAAAACCAAGCTAAGAAAAGGGAGTGAAGAGCAGCCAGACATCTAGACCTGGGGCACATGTCACATTAAGTCATGACTGGCTTGTTGTTCAGTCACTCAGATGCTTCCAACTCTTCCCGACCAAGATTGTCTATCAGTAACAGCTTCTTTGAGTTCTTAGAAGCTCTCGCTTGTATCCTCAGTGATAGTATCAACTCACCTTGTCTTCTGCCAGCTTCT